GGTGTTGATTTCAGCCCCCCTGRATTTTTATTTCATTTCGATAACTGGAAATAAATGATTGGCGTGYACTTACCGGTCCTGTTGCGCAAGGCGTTGCTCTGAGTCTCCACGACGGCCTGGCTCAGCTTCGCCAGGCCTCGCATAAGAAATATCATATCACTCGCCATGATGGGCTGAACACAAGATGAACAGAGGGATACGGGGTTAATGTCACCATCGAACAACACTGTACACGAGTCAAAAAATAAACAAAACACCAACAAAAATACTTTACTCTTCAGATATGTAAAAGGGATAACCTGCCAGAAAACATTACAACAGTCAAAGGGACAGAGACAATCGGACAGAAGTARAACTTGTCAACAGAAACACAAACACTCAACTGTCCTGACTTTAAATCTGTACCTAAAAATATCGATGACCTCCAGTCCATTTGGTTCATACACAGACACACATTTTAAAAAAGGAAAGATGAATCCCGCTCATGTAAGCGGYGTGAATATGGGGTCACGGACTCGATCTGGAACTCTCCCTGGAAAAGAAAGAGGAGGAGGAGGAGGAGTGCAGCCGGAACGCTCCGGCTATTTCAGCCAATGCTGGCGCACGTGTTCGGCTCATGTTCAAGGTCTGCAGCCGCGCCGGACTCCACCCCGGCATCCGTTTATGCGATAGACAGGTTTGGGCGTTTGCTTTCTATTAAACAAACTCCTGAAAGACCCAACAATAATAATACAAAAAAAGAACAACTTGAGGTTAATTAAGGACAAAAACAACAAGAGTTTATATCCCTGAGTCTTATCTAAACAACAGAGCTATCGCTGCATTCCAGGGTGTTGCAGCTGTTGGACAGGTTGACTGCTGAGGGCGTGACGATGTGCTTCAACACAGCCCTGCTGGAACTGAGCCAGAGGGAACAGCTCAGCAGAGTGAGCGTAAACACTTCACAGGCACTAACTACAGCAGTAAATAGGTCATCTTCCTCCTTCAAGCCTGTGGCTACGGCAGGCTGTTGYACCATATAATAAAACCAGGATTATATCTTTAATTACAGATTAGAGTAAGCAGAACACCTTCAAGTCTAAATGACATTCTTACTACGGAGACATAAAATATGATATATAWAAGACTATTTTAACATTTACTTACTATATTAAATTACTATACAAAGCAGATGCAAGTTCAATTTTCCTAGTTGAAACAAAAGGGTTTCTGCAGTTTATAATCTAATTGTAAATAATCATAACATCCGAAATGGCATCGCATCCAAATCCTCCATAATTGTCATGAATATCTTTTTTTAACTTATTCAGTCCTGTTAAAGCAAAGGATCATTAGTTTGTCACATCGTACAGTAAGAAGTAAAAGTGTGTTGAAGCTACACTCAATGCATAGTGGCTGATAGGTGAATCGTAAATGTAGCAGAGTTTGTTGCTTTATTTATCTTTAACACACTGAACCACTGGCAGACGCACAACCCTTGCCGATATTTGTAATATCCACCAAAGTTACAGTAAACAGGAAGAACAGTACAGCTGGAAGCCCAGTTGAATTAAAAAAAAAACTGTCCACAGAGAAATTAAATTCTATAGATGAAACACTCTTTATGACTTATGAGTATTTATTCTTTCATATTCTTCCTAACAGATTATATGATCAATCACTTGCCCTATTGTCTGTATTCTACATGGAAAAACAAGGGTGGGTAAACTTTGTTTTACAGTGCAAAAGCATGTTTCAAAAAACACTTAAGAGATAATTAACTCGATGTCTTTTATCTTATCTTCATATTAAACTGATACAGATGGATTTGGACTGCCCTGAGCGAGTTATTGGTTGGACTTTTGATCAAGCTGAAGCAGCAGAKGTTGTTCTTTTCTCTTACGGTTGTGGGCCAATATTTTTTGAAGGCAAAATATCTTACTGCGAACAYAAAAACCTTTTACAAAATTGGCTGGTGCCGTGAAAACAAAATGAAAACTTGAATTTTGTACTTTTACAAAAAGTCTCAACTACCTATTGTATGAACT